TAACTTCCTTATCCATTTGACATAAAACTATTAATTAATTTATATATACATATGAATAATTTTTTATTTCATCATATTCATGATTTATCTTTGTTTTATAGAATAGCTAGAGTATTCGTTATGATCGTATATAGCTTATGACGAAAATTCATTAGCCTAGCCTATTTGTTATGAAGTTGATTTAAAATTCTTCATAACAAATTTTAAGAAGTTAAAAGTTAAGAAAGAATGAAATTAGCCTGTAGTCTGATCTATAGGCTAATTTTCTTAACTTTTATTACTGCAGTTAAGTCCAAAAATCTTAGAAAATAATTTAGGCTATACTTTCTTTAACTGCAGAAAAAACGAAACCATTTAATTTGCAGTGTTAACTTATGAATTAAATGAAAAACAAGAAATAAATCCCAACAAAAACAATAGAGTTTTATTCTTGTAATCAAGAAAAAATATTTGACTAAATTTCAAAATGAATGCTGAATGATATTTGACATTGAACGCAACTCCACTGCATAGCCGCATACAATCGTTGGTGTCAGTCGCAAATATTAAACATGTTTTAGGCTACAATGCATGGCGTGTGTATTTCACCAGCTCCGTTCCCGTGGACACCTTTTGTTTGATCTAATTCTGGATCACAGATTGCACGCTTCCCAGCCGAAACAACCCCCCACGTGAAATTGAAATAATAACCCGTGATATAAGATTTTGGCCATATTGCCCATCTAAATCATTCATCCCACACTATCAACAGGTGTGTCATGTAGGCTACACTTCTTGTACTTCGTTTGGGCACCACAAGGTGTCACTGTGGCCTCAAAGCTTACCCCTCGCCTACTCTGGCTCGATTGCTATTCAACCACTGATGTAGGCTACACTTCTTGTACTTCGTTTGGGCACCACAAGGTGTCACTGTGGCCTCAAAGCTTACCCCTCGCCTACTCTGGCTTGATTGCTATTCCTGAGGTAAAACATGCCCTCCTCATTACCCTAAGGACAAAGAAATGTAGAAATAAAGAAATGTGGAAATAAAGAAAGAAAGAAATATATATGTAAAAAATTTATACATGTTAAATATATATGTTATATATGTTAAAAATTAATAAAAGTGGGTATAAATAAATGTATAAATAAATAAAATAAAAAATAAATAAAAAAATAAAAAAAATACATAAATAAGGAAATAAAATTATAAATAATTATTTCTTTTTGCTTTTTTACTTTTCTTTGTATATTTATTGATATATTTATTTATTTATTTATATTTGCTTTTTTACATTTCTTTGTACATTTCTTTATTTATTTATTTATAATTATGGCAGGGATGGCATTCCATATCACTGTGCAGTTATTATATAGTGTAAATGACAGGGATAAGTGTATACATTTGTTTGTGAAGTTGTGCGACACTTTAAGGTATGTTTAAAATGTGGAATCATGGAATTAGATAACAAAATATCGAACCAAAGTTGCATTTATAATTTATTGTATTATTAACATTTCACAACACACTTTAATGCTGGAGGTAGCCTAATTAGCTACCTGTTACCTTACCTAAATGTACTCATTTTTTATGCTGATACTGTATGACAGTCACCTTGGACTTATTGACACTTTATCTTGTTTATTTGTAAGTAAGTATGTCAAACAAGGTTCTGAATCTCCTTCAAGGATTTTATGTCATGATCCTCATGAACGTTTGAAAATCAAACTAGTTTTTCTTCTTGATGAACTGATAAATACCTGTGCACTCTGACAATGGGAAATTACATAGCAACCTCTCAGTTCTTAGAGTTCTTGCACACACATTTTCAAATATATATTTACTTATTTTAAAGAAATGTTTTGGTCAATAAAAATAGAAATGCAGATTTCTATATGAAGAATTCTATTAAAGTTTTTATCATTTCTCTTGAGTTTCCTGTTGTGTGAGGCTGTTTGCTTGTGTCACAGATAGGCTAGTGTTATACAGATAGGCTAGTTTATACGTAAAAAAATGTTGAAACCAGTTGGGACAGTTTTCCATTCCACATTTCAAAGCATCTTATGTCTTCATTCCATGGATAAGTGAGCTGCATACATTCAGAATTCTCATGATTGTAAACTAAAAGCGTACAATCCCAACCTAACAGGAAGTTTTAGTACTTAATGCCATTATATTTAACTTTTCAATTACTCTTTGTTCTCAGTTCTTAATTCATCATTTCAGTGTTTAAGTGCAATTTAGTCAAGTAATTCATTACCTCTTTTGTGACATAATAGTAATGTTTAATATTAATTATCATCAGTCAGTCATAGCATACATGTGAATTTGCTATCAAATTTACTACTCAGTATTTAGATGATCAAAGTCTTTCTGCTTGTTTCTATACCTTTTACTGAGTACATGAAGAGCATTAACAAAGCACAGAATCAGAAAGAGCTTTATTGCCAAGTCTGTTTACACATAGGCTACAAGAAATTTCTCTTAGTAACAGAAGCTTCCACAGTACAGACTGTGTATTTTTTATTATCGGTCTTGACAAGATTTTTTTTGTTTTCTTGACATATTATCTGACAAGACAGATAATAAAAAATACACAATATATGAAATAGTTATTGTTAGTAAATAATATATAGAAGTTATTGTTATGGGTGATTTTAATTTAAATTGAGAAGACAAATCCGTGAGGAAGACGCTTAACCTCCTGAGACCCTGCATTTCTCTGAGACTATACATGCCACAGTTAAAAAAAAATCCTGAAAACTAAAAATGTATTGTAACGTATTGTTTTTGCCTATGCATGTTCATTCATGTCTTTGTTTTTGTTTTTTTAAGAAAGTACACAAAATAATGTTCTTTTTAGCAGCATCATATGACCCCTTTAAATCTATTGAAAACAAAGTAACTAGAGGTGCAGCTAAAGCAGATTGCATAATTCCACATAGAAAAACCTTGTTTGGTCAAGCTGTTTTTTCATTCAGAGCATCACATCAGTGGAATTCAATACCACAATCAATTAAAGAATGTACATCATTTAACTCATTTAAGCATCATTTTAAGAAATGGCTTCTTCATAACCAACAATGTGAACATTAATGTTGTTTATTTATCTTGACAAGTTGCTTTTTATATTATTATTTTTTTATTACTTAAAGGGTTAGTTCACCCAACTATCAACTATCCCTTTAATTCTTTATTTTTTTTAATTGTCATTTTGTATATATTTTGTAACTGTATTTTAGAGAATTATTTATAATTTTTGGTTGAATTTCATTGTTATTGTTTTTCTATTTTGTTTCTTTTCTTCCTCTAGTTTTTTGGCCTAGTAACATCTGGCAAAGGGACTACCAATGAAAACTAGCCTTCGGGCTAATTTGCATTCATGAATGTTGATTAATGTACACTGTCCCTTTTTTGTGAAACAAATAAATAAATAAATAAATAAAATAGTCTATATACAGATATGCAAATGCAAGGAAGATGTAACAGATGTATTGTACTCAATGCTAAACCATGAAAAAATCTTCTCATGATAAACCTTCTCTCTCTTTGTTTTAACAAATTCCCTTAAAATTCCCAGATGACAACCCAAGATTTCAGAAATATTTTTTAATATCAGATCTTTGACAGTTTTGCAATGTGCAGGACTTTGGAGAGTCCCAACAAAATGAAACTAGCTACAGCACTTGCATACACTGGACATTCAGCTGTTCAGCTGTTTGAGTTGCACAGAGAAAATGAATTTTCTCATTTCTAGATCTCTAATTAAGTCTTTGTTTTCCTCAAAGGATGAAACAATTGTTTTGAAACAAAATACATTTAAACAGATGAGGACAGACTCTTTTCTTTGGCTTGTTGTAAATGAAAATAAAACTGAAGTTGCTTGTTCATTTTTTTTTTTTGATAAATATAATCATTTGTGTTCAAACTAATTAATCAGTGTTGTTATTCATAAACCCACAGGTAAATAATTAAATAGAAAACAGCTATGATTTCACTGCTGAAGAAAATATCTTGACTGTAACCAGCAGAAAATGGTGCAAAACCCATCTAAAAACTGATACAGCATCTAAGACCAGCAAACCATGTTCTTATTTAGCAAGGCTAGTGAAATTATCAGATTTGTGCTGTCTTTATATAAACAATAACATTCTTAAAATCACCTAACACATGCAAAGTCTTTTATTTGGGAAATTTCTGACTGAGCCTGTAGTCTTAGCTTGAAGGTGAAAATAAAATTTCCCAGGGCCACACCCCCTGTCAGTAAGATATAAGGCAAAAATTTGTGAGGGGGAAAGCATTCTAGATCATGGAGTCATTACACACTTTCCTGATGCTCTTCGTCGTTATCTGCAAGTCTAATGCGCTCATCCGACCCAGTAATGGCCTTCGTGAATGTCGCATAAACTCAACTTTAACAGCACTGGAGGTGCTCCCAGGTGGAGGCTGGGATAACCTGCGCAACATAGACGTGGGACGGGTGATGAACTTTAGCTATTCCCAATGTCAGACCACGGAAGATGGCATTTATCTCATTCCAGATGAAGTCTTTGTCATTCCACAGAAAACAAGCGGAGTGGAAACTCACTCTGAGACCATCATGTCATGGCTGGAACAGAAAAGCTCCACATCAGGATCCATCAGTGCAGACATTTCTTTCCCTCCAGTGCTAAACGGAAAATTCTCTGAAGAAAATACACGCATGAAAACACACCAAGTGAGGACGAATTCCGTAACAACGCGAGTTCAGGTAAGTCAGAAAAGTGGAAAAGTAAAAGCAGCATGTTTTTTCAATGGCAGAAAAAAGTAAGAGTGAAGTTTAACCACTAGCGCCACGCTCACTTTCGGTTTCACTTACGTAGAAGCACTCCTTCGGCGCAAGATGGAAAAGTCATCTGTGATGAGCTTGCGCAAAAAAATCCAGATACTGGTGGCTATATGTGCCGTCAACCATACAGTGCCTCATTGTTACACTCAGAGACAGTAGAGCAGGGTTACAATCAATATGAGTGCCATAGGGAATGTCATTCGTGCTGGTTAATTTTTGATTGTTGTGACAATGTATGTGGAAATGCTTATTATGTCCGTCGTGCAAAAATCAACACTTACTGGTGTTCCACAAGTCAGACAGTCCCTCAATACTCTGGATACCTTTTTGGAGGTCTATTCGGACCATCTTTTCAAAACCCACAGACCAAATCTCATGACTGTCCTCCAAATTACTTTGCACAAACATTTTTGACTAATGGTATGAGGATTTGTCTGAGCAATGATTACGAGGCAGGAACAGTATCTTCTGTGCCATTTGGGGGTTTCTTTAGCTGTCGATCTGGCAACCCACTTGCAGGGGACCAATACCGTTGTCCACCTCAGTACAGCCAACACCTTGCTGCCATTAGCGATGGCTGTCAGGTATTGTACTGTGTCCAATCAGGTGAGTTTACTGGTGGCCAGTTAAAACCTATTCGCCTCCCACCATTCACAAGACCACCTCTGGTCAACATGATGGCGACAAACACTGTAGCTGTGATGACAGAAGGTGATCGGGCCTGGCTGAGGGTTGGAGAAACCAAAAAATGGAGACTAGCAAAGGCTGGCGAAGTTACTCAAATAGTCAGAACGTTTCAGGCATCATCTACCCGGATGTCAGGAGGTGAAAAGGCTGGTGTGGCCTGTGGTGTAATGACTTTTATCGCAGTTGTTGTGGCAGGAATTGTCATTTTGGTAAAACGCAGAAGGAGATTTTCAAACTTCAGATCAAGCAGGGGGTATGAAGAGATTCACTATGAAGGCCAAAGTGGTGTAGAAAGTCAGAGAGAGCAACAGAATACAAACGATAATCCCACTCAACCTCTGTTGGCTTAGTTATGTCGAGTACATTAAGATTTGTTAAGTATTGTAAAAGTTAAATCTTGATCAGCTTTGTAATCAATTTTTAGTATTTGGTGATAGGGAATATATTTATGTGGTGCTTGTGAACAACGGCATTTTTACCTCTTAGGAAATAGATTGCGTTGAACATTTACGTTTGAATTTCCACCATAATGTGCACCACTGAAATAATAAACTAATACATCTACTGTACTATATATTTGTGTCATTGTATGACTGAACCACACAAAGTATTTCCTTCATTCCGCTCATAGTAAAAACATTTGTCTCAGAGAATTAAGCCACTGGGTGTATGATGGAAAATTGTTTGTGAATGTGTGCTGGGTACTGTATGTATGAGTTATGATGGAAACACATAACCTAAGATATATAACCAAAATAATCAGTTTTTCAGGACATTATTAATACATATTAAACAACTATTTCCATAAAGTTAGAACAATAAAAAGAGAGAAACTATCCTGTATATATAAGTATTTCACAGTAAAAGAGAGCATGAACCAGCATGATTGGATTGTGTATGTCTAAGAAGTTGAAAAATGCGTTGTCATCCCACCTGAATGATGATTTAAATGTCTCTAGAGGCCAGAAAACATTCCAAATTCCAGTAAGGCAGGAGATGAGAGTATGTTTTGGGTCCTCATTACCCATCATACCTTTGAACTTTATTTCACAGACGAAATGCAACATCACCATACTCCAGCAGATGGCAGTGTCTCCTAATATTACAGCACGGATGAACAACGGCATTTTTACCTCTTAGGAAATAGATTGCGTTGAACATTTACGTTTGAATTTCCACCATAATGTGCACCACTGAAATAATAAACTAATACATCTACTGTACTATATATTTGTGTCATTGTATGACTGAACGTAGCTTATATGTCTCATACGAGTTTAAGAAATACATAGTCAATCTCTCCAACTCTTGCTAGTAAAATTAATAAAAACTTTTTTACCAAGAAGTTTAAGGGAAACCATTACTGATTGGAGGAAATGCTGCTATTTTTGTTCTGCCACATCAATGTCACTAAATTCCTCAGTAAATTAAACTAATGGTTTAATCTACCAACACTAACATGGCAAAGACCTAAGACATTTTAGCACAGGCCACTCTTGTGTAAACATCTCTTGTTTACTCACTGGTCATAAACATTAAATTGGCAGCACATTCTGAAACAGCAAACTTATTTATGGTCAATGTTTTTTAGATTGTTTGGTGTGCCATGTTTTTGGTTGCCAAATGCAGTAGCTTACCATTTTAGCCATAAACCAACACATACACATCTTTTCTGCACTGAATGGAGTTTTCAAACACATCTAGTGAGTATTTAGCACAGAAACAGCCAGAGGCTGCTGGTAGTACATGTTATTGAAGAAGACATTTAACTACCCAAGCACACAAAGGTTGCCAATATACCAAAATTAATCTGAAGCTATGAATGTTAGCTTACACAGACATTATTTGACTCATTATATTATTGATCAGTCACTTTTATTGAATCAGCCCACCACCAGCACCATGACATCTTCAGATATCAAAGATGGTAATTAAATCAACAGTCAGAGAACAGGAGCCAGCCTGCTGAGTGGAAAAATACGAGTGTTTGGAAATATTAGGGCATTTGCATCCAGCCATTTCAAATGATGATAGTTGACATAATGTCCAGTAGAATCATACACTTTTTAAGACACATGAGCCTTCTGGAATATTCTGGAAGGAATTAGTGACAATATGTTCACAATAACACAAAAACACCTTTTGTCACACACACTTTGAACAGTTGTTCTTGTACAGTTGCTCTTATTCATTAAAAAAAAATCCTATACTTAATGACTAGTGAATGATGTGTCAAAAGTCACATGTTCTCCTTTTAAGAAAATTCTACGTGTTTTAGATAGAGTTTTAGAGTATTAGATAAAATAAAACTGAATCATGCAAAAACAAGACAGATTTG